GTCACCTGGTTCCAAATTCAATTGGAGAGATACAGAGGTTAGCAATCAAAAGTTTAAAGAGCTGGGCTCGGTGGCTCAACCTGTAATCCCGCGCCTTTGCGAGGCTGACGTGAATGGATTGCCAGAGCCCGTCGGTTCAGACCCGCCTAGGCAACTTGGCAAGACCTCATCTCTACAATAAATCAAAAAAAAAAAAAATTAGCCGGGCGTGGTAGCGCGCCCCTGTAGTTCCAGCTACCTGGAAGGCTGAGGCGGAAGGATTGCCTCAGCCCGGCAGGTCGAGGCTGCGGTGGCCGGGAGCGGCCACTGCACTCCAGTCTGGGCTACAGAGTGAGACCCCAACTCAAAAAAAAGTTTAAAGAAATAGGTTTCTCAGGATCAATGTGAAGTAACCCTTCAATTCAAGACTTTAACTCACATCTGTTAGAGCTAATTCAAAAGCGAACTTTAAGTAAAATCAGGTTGCAAGAATTACAGAAAGCTGAAAGGTTTACTTTGTAATATAAAAAAGCCATCTGAATCATAAGATAAAATTAGTCACATGCACTTGTTTGGGTTTCTTAAGATCAGTGATAAGATTATTAAACGCCATCTAGTGGATTAATTAAAAAATTCTTTTTTCCCTTTGAAGACGAAATCAAGATCTAAAAATCAACTTTTGAATTTATTTAACAGGGCTGGGATTTCTTTCCTTTTTGAGATGATAGGAGTTGAAATGGAGTATGCCTTTTAAAAATATTAAAGATATTTATTTGTAGAGTTTTAAAACCCCTGTCTCTTTCTTTCTTTCTTTTTCTTTTAAAGATATGGAGTACAACTCACAGTTAGGTATACAAGTGGTCATCGTACAGGTAAAGTTTGGGCCTCCCTTTGGTCTCCACTTTGCCTGATTTGAGATCAGGTACCCTTATTCATGTTGTGTTCCCCACACCCCCACCTTGGCAGTATTCTACTACTGCCAATCCCTTTCTTGTGGTATTATGGTAAATGTTCAGGGTCCGCTTATGAGTACGAACATGTGGTACTCACTTTTTTGTTTCTACGATCACTGAGTATTGTAGACTCATAATCCATCCAAGTTGCTGCAAAGTCCATATGTTTGTCCTTCTTTATGATTGTGTAATATTCTATCATGTATATGTACCACATTTTTTATTCAGTCCAGTTTTGGTGGGCAGCATAAAAAACCCATTTATTAATCATTTCTCAATTCAATCAAAAACTTTAAAAAAATACACTACCAGGGAGCTACCCAAAGAAAAAGAAATCAATGCATAAAAAAGATTCCTGTACTTGTATGTTCATTGCAACACTATTCACATTAGCAAAAAAACATGGAACCAACCTAACTGTCCACCAACAATTGACTAGATAAAGAAAATGATTTATAGATATACCATGGAATACTACTCAGCCATAAAAAGAATGAAATCATGTCATGCGAAGTAACATGGAATCATCAACCTAAATGAACGTATTCTGAAACAGAAAACCAAGAACCACATGATCTCGCTCATGTGTGGGAGTTAAATGGTCACAAAGATGGAAATAATAGACATTAGGGACATCAACAAGGGAGGAAGTAGGAGGGGGAATAAGGTTCAGAAATTAATCAGTGTACAATGTTCACTGACTGGGGAATGGGCCACTTCCTAAGACCTAATCCCCATCACTACACAATATGTCTATGTAATGAACATGCATGTGTACCCCCAGATCTAAAATAAAGATAAAAAATAATACAATCACTCATTTGCTTAAAATTTTAAAAATCTTGTAGCATTTTTGCTTGAATTTACTTGCTATCAATTTTAAAATTCTTGAGCTCCCTTATCTTTTCATTTTAATATTTCACAATAAAATGAAACTTCTCAGTGGAAAAGCTCAGAAATGACCAGGCAAGAAGTGTGGTTGATGAATTAAAAAGAATGAATAAATGTCTGCCAGAATTTATTTTTGAAAACTACTTACAATATTTTCTTAATTGTTGGTTCAATTTGTCCTTTTAAAGGCTGTAGAATAAAGGTATCTCTCTCTCTCTCTGTGTATGTGTGTATATACATATGTATATCGTGTGTATATAAATATGTATATATTACATTCAGAGAAAGATTGCAAGAATCACATAAAGATTTATTGGATGCTTTTCACCCAGAATTTTTTCAAATATTACATTTTACTACATTTGCTTATTTATTTTATTCCATTTTGTATACATTGTCTTAATCATTTAAAAGTAGCTTAATCATTTAAAAGGTGTGGTGGCTCACACCTGTAATCCCAGCACTTCGAGAGGCTGAGGTGAGAGGATTACCTGAGCCCACAGGTTCGAGACCAACCTAGGCAACAAGGCGAGACCTCATCTCTTCAATAAATCAAAAAAAAAAAAAAATTAGCCTGGCGTGGTGGCGTGTGCCTGTAGTCCCAGTTACTTGGAAGGCTGAGGTGAAAGGTTCACCTGAGCTTAGCATGTTGAGGCTGAGGTGGCCGTGAACATGCCACTGCACTCCAGCCTGGGCAACAGAGTGAGTCTCCAACTCAAAAAAAAGTTGTAGACGTTTCTTTTTATGCCTCAATTCTTTAATATGTATATAAGACTTCTCACACATAGCTTTAGTATGAGTAGCAAAATCAGAAAATTATAATTGATACAGTAATATTACTTAATTTATAAACTCTATCCAGACACTACCAGTTGTCCCAGTAAATATGTGTCCTTTTAACAAAGGAAACCCAAGATTTTGTGGTGAATTGGTTACACGCCTCTTTAGTGTCCTTTCAGTGGAACTGTCTCTAGTTTTTGTGTTTTGTGATATTGACATTTTTGAAGATTGTAGGCCAATCATTTTGTACATTGCCTCCAAATTCGGGTTTGTCTGATATTTTCTCAAGGTTAGACTCAGATCATACACTTTAAGCAGAAATACCAAAGAAGTGATGCTGAGTTCTCAATGCATTACATAAAGAGGCAGACACTGTCAATTAATCCTATTACTGGCAATGTTAACTTAATTATTTTGCTATTTCTCTATTGTAAAGCTATTATTTTACTCTTTATAATGAATCAGTTGCTACAGGTTGATACTTGGAGATTTTGTAAATAACCTATTCTCGAATTTTTTTACCCAGTATTTTACTATCTTTGATGACACTTGCCTTAAATCACTTATTATAGTAATTACCAAATGTTAATCACTAATTGCATTATTCCTTTTATATTTATTAATTGATATTCTACAGTAAGGAAGAGATTTCCTTACTGTTTTGTTGTTGCTGTTGTTGTTTTGTAATTTATATCTGTATGCACTTATGGATTCTTTATTCAATCATTTATTATTCTTTTTGATCAGGTTTTTTTTTGTACTTTTGTTTTTATTTGATGCTAACACTGCCCCAGATTTGGAAAGTTGGGATTTTCTGACATTCTCCATCATTCTTTGAGTACATTCTGACTTTTTGGCTCAACAAGCTGTCAAGCACATATCATACTTTGTCCGCCTCGGCCTTGGAATCACTTACTTTTCCAGTGACCTCTGGTTCCTTTTGTTAGAGAATGGTATTTAGAAATCAAGATCTGGGGGCTAGGATGTTAAATGTGCTCATTGCTAATAAGAGGTCATTGTTTCTTTTTTTTTTTTTTTTTTTTTTTGAGTTGGAGTTTCACTCTGTCGCCCAGACTGGAGTGCAGTGGTTGCTCCTGGCCACCGCAGCCTCGACCTGCTGGGCTCTGGTGATCTTTCTGCCTCAGCCTTCTGAATAGCTGGAATTACAGGCATGCGCTACCACGCCCAGCTAATTTTTTATTTATTGTAGAGATGAGGTCTCGCCAAGTTGCCCAGGCAGGTCTCGAACCCGCGGGCTCAAGCAGTCCACTCACCTCAGCCTTCCAAAGGCACGGGATTACAGGCTGAGCCACCGAGCCCGGCTGAGGTCATTGTTTCTAGGCTCTCTCCACAAACAGAAAATAAATGCGCGCACACACACACACACACACACACACACACACAAACATATATGCACGTACATGGATATTTCCTCACATCTTTTTTACATTCGTATAGCACTTTATTGTTGGAACACTACAGTTCATTCAAGTGCGAGTCTATGAATTAGAATTTAGATAAATGTCAATGTTTCTAAATAACAAATGATGCATTAATGAATAATCTTGTGCATATGTATTTTTATTTAAGGTAAGTATGAGTGTATATTGAGGGTAGGTTCTTCAATGTGAGATTGCTGTGTCAAAGGTAAATGCATATGTAGTTATACTAGGTGTCAAATTCCACTCTACAAGGGGTGTCCCAATCTGGATTCCCAATAGCTATGTATGAGAGTGCAAGTTTCCCCACAGACTTGCCAACAGAGTGTGTTGCTCCTGAACTTTTTAATTTTTGCCAGTCCTGATAGTGAAAAATGACACTATCAATTAATGTACAGTGTAGCATGAATTGACATTTCTTTTATCATGAGCCAAGTTAAACATCTTTTCATTTGTTTAAGGGCCACTTTTATATCTTTTTGGTGAACTCTCTACTTATGTGTTTTAATCATTTTTTAAGAATGTCATTTTAACAGGGTTTCTGTCACCAAAATAAAATTTAAATCTGTATTTTGGGGGTACACTCTAAGTGCCAAACACAATTTTAAGCACTGCAGAGATACCTATGGACAGAATCACTTACAATAAGTTTACTCAGCACAACTGTTCCTGAAATTGAAAACACTAAAAGGTTTAAGTCCTTGAGTTACGATCATTTCGCAAAGTTGAAATAATTTCTAAAAAAATCGAAGATCTCATACTTTGCCAAAGATATACGAAGTGAACATCCACTTATAACCTTTCATAAAAGAATATACCAAGAATATACCAAGGAGCTTAGGAATTGCTTTAGGCAAAAAGGTGTTAGGAGACTTAGCAGAATACCAGAGAGGAAACTTTCAAATAGTGTTTGGGAAAAAAAAAAAAAGTAACATGACTTTTTCATTTTCTCACACAGTTATACATCTTCAGGATGATTCATCTAGCAGACAGCTCGGGAGAGACAGAAGTTTTCTCTCAATGTGTAACACACTGCAGTTTCCCACAATGGTGGCAACAAGCCTTTTATAATTTTTTCACCTTCAGCTGCCTCTTCATCATCCCTCTTCTTATCATGCTGATCTGCAATGCAAAAATCATCTTTACCCTGACACAGGTCCTTCGGAAGGACCCCCACAGTATGTATCCCATAGGTTTAGTGTTAATTGTGGGCAGTTTTTAAAACAGCAACACTGAAAACAGTGTGGCACTTACTACATGTCAGATACTGTTCTAAGCAGTTTACATACCTATATAAGCTCATTTAATATTCACAGTGTTAATATCACCCCACAAGGGAATGTTTTTATTATAGCTTTGTCATCCTCAACTTACAGATGAGGTCATTTATTAACTCCTGATACTCAACAATTGCACCATGGAACTAAGGAAGAAAGATTTCCATTGCTCCATTAAAACCCAGGACAGGCCGGGCTCGGTGGCTCAGCCTGTAATCCCGCGCCTTTGGGAGGCTGAGGTGAGTGGATTGCCTGAGCCCGAGGGTTCGAGACCTGCCTGGGCAACTTGGCGAGACCTCATCTCTACAATCAATCAAAAAATAAGCCGGTCATGGTAGCGCACGCCTGGAGTTCCAGCTACTTGGAAGGCTGAGGCGGAAGGATCACCGGAGCCCAGCAGGTTGAGGCTGCGGTGGCCGGGAGCGGCCACTGCACTCCAGTCTGGGTGACAGAGTGAGACTCCAACTCAAAAAAAAAAAAAAAACCCAGGACAAGCATTGGCAAACTGTTCCTACTAAGTCATAACAACAATATACCAAACGTGATATCTAGAATATAGCAAAGTACAACCTGTAAAATGCTAGCCAACAAACTTGTTAAAGTTAAGCTGTTTTGTTTTATACTCAAATCCCCTGTATCTACACAATATAAACTATGCACATTTGTGTGTGTATTGGTGCATAAAATATTATTGAATATGCAGTTGATCATTTCATCCAAAACCGCACAGATGTCGTTTTGCCTTTTGCTGCCTCAGTAATTTGTTGCATTTGCCAAAACTAAAATTTATGAATTTGTGAAGTAAGCATGACATGGCATGACATCCAAAAGACATGTTATCAATGACAGTGCATAGGTTAATATCTAGTACAACTTAAGAGGAAATCATCTTAATTATTATGGCATAAACATTTTCAGTAAATGTTTTCGAAAAGAAATAATCATGGTGATGCTCTAAAATAAGTACTTGGGCAGTTTCTACTTGCTAGCAGAAAATGATATTTGTTATTTCCCAGAAAGTATACTGCAAAAACAAGTTGCCTCCAAAATCTTATCTCAGAGAGATTCAGGTCTGTAACAGATATCTAGGAAGGACACAGAGAGAATAAGTGATAAATCCAAAATAAGAGTTAATCTGAAGAAATATGAGCAGAACTGAAGCAGAAAAACAAAAAGGCAGAGACAAAGAGTTCCAGTTAAATATTACTAACACATTTATTTATTTAATTTTGTATTTATTACAATTATTACAATTCAGCAATATGTACTCAATATTGCTGAAAACTGTGCTAGGTGAGAATACCATAGGGATTAAGACAAGCCTGATAAGTATCTTGCTTGCATAGAGTCTACAGTCTAACAGAAAAGCCAGAACAGTAAACTAGCATGTTGTGAATGTCTTTACATTTATATATGAAAATGTTCATATTCATCCACTGTGCTAAGCCAAGATGCTTTTTTTAAAAAAAATCATTTCCTCGAATTGATTATATTTTATATGTCACTAAAGTTGACAGATATTGAGGATTGAATGAAACAGTGTGTGAAATAGCAAGCTCCATAGCAAGACATGTAGTAAATAGTAATTAGTTTTGTCTAATCAAAAATCCATAACAAATCTGTATTTGATTAATTACTTATTTTAATATTTCTAAACAAAAATTAATTTTATAATTAAAATATCTTAATGCAAATGTTTATCTCCATATTTCTACTCTTAGGTGACCAACGAATAAAAAGTTGGGAAATGACTATTTCCAAATAGCATCACCTGTTTCCCTCTCTCTATATATAAATGTGAAGAGTATTTCTTATTTCAAGATAGCAGTTATAGATTATAAAATACAGGAATAAGTTTTGAGTACTTCAAAAATTGCAGTTTTTTACCTTTAAGAACTAAGCCCTAAATTTCAGGTAAGTAGTCAGCAATTCTGTTAATTTCCAATAAATCTCTTCACAAGAAGATTAATCTATCAACCTTAAAGGACATATTAATATGAAATGTGAAGTTATATCAAATGTGACAAGAAGAAGCACACAGTTGGAATAGATACCTTGGGGCAACACACTTTCATTCATACATGATTCTTACTATCCTTAGTGGCAGAGATAGTCAGTGAATATAATTCTATTTTGCAATCAGAATTTTAAGTCAGCTTAAACTCATCAACTCTCCTAAATTTATGTTTTAAGAATCTGAATGTCCCACATTTCAAATCCAGATTAGTTTGGTGGAATTTTAGTATTAAGAGCATTGTTTTTACTCTTTTCAATTTGTTATGTGACATAGTAAAAACTTAGTATAAAAACATGCCTTTCAAACAAATTATGAGTATTAAAAATATTGGAATTTTTAATAATAAAATATTCCCCATTCATTAGGTTGAAATAGTGATGCTCTGTTCCTTTTGGTCATTTTGCTTTTGTGAGAAAACTGATCTTTAAACACTTACTCTTTTTCTCTACCTAATAGAACTACAACTGAATCAATCCAAGAGCAATGTACCAAGAGCACGGCTGAGGACCCTCAAGATGACAGTGGCATTTGCCACTTCATTCACAGTCTGCTGGACTCCCTACTATGTCCTAGGAATTTGGTATTGGTTTGATCCTGAAATGTTAAACAGGGTGTCAGACCCAGTAAATCACTTCTTCTTTCTCTTTGCTCTTTTAAACCCATGCTTTGATCCACTCATATATGGCTATTTCTCTCTGTAATTGACAGACTACATAGGAAGTCATATAAAGAAGGGCAAGGTAATGAATTTCTCCATTAGGGAATGATAAGCACAAAGGTTGTGGCATATTTACATATAAACCAAGCAGGATTTAACCTTAAGTTATCTTCCTTATTATTTTAGCCACATTTTCAGAGCCTCAATTACAAGGGGAAAAAACTTCAGGAAAAATACTGAAATATTTTCTCTTAATCATAAGCTTCTGAATTAATCTTTACCCTGACATTGCAAAACAATTATGTGGGTTTCCTATCACTTTCTTCTTATATAACAAATACATAAGTATTTAAAATAGTCACAGCCTAATGCAAAAAGACGACAAAAACTAAGGCTGAGAAGTCACAATACAGTCCAAACCTCAGCATGCTTTGGGGAGTTTTTCTTTAAACAGGACTTGGCAGCAGTTAACAATCTTATGCTATACAAATACATAGAACACATAGACAATATGTCCCCTGCCCTTAAGATCGTTTTTGCCTCCTATGGTTAAAAAAAAAAATTGGATGTAATTTTCTCTTTGACTTCAAAAGCATTCTGACATTCAAAGCTCAGCAACCAACCCCACTATTCATTCCACTGACAAGATGATGAGTAGTTCTCCACTTACATTGTATAGGTGAGAGCGATGGTTTGAACAGATTTTGGAACATTCTTCTAGGCTGTATGTTCTATGGAGTTAGAGAGGTTTTAACTACCATAAATGCAGTGTTTTTAAGTGAAATTAAGAAAATACTTACATTGATTATTCTTTATGCATAATATACCCTCTATTTTAATAACATGGATAGGATCTTTTGTCTCTCTTTTGATCTTACTAAATTCATAATCCGTAAATCACTGAGAAAAATCAATACAAAAAAATCAAGCATATGCACAAGCAACATGATGTCTGGTACATAAAATGAACTCTAGAAAGAAAACTAAACAGTTTCAGTCTGTACAGGTCAAAGAAGACAGCAGAGAATTGAGAGAGGGGGAAGAAAAAGAAAACCTCTTGGTAAATGCCAATTTAGCACCACTGATATTCACATTAAATAGTCTTGTTTCCAAAATATGTCTACACAACACCTCTTTTATTTAATTCAGGCCTGTGTCTACCCCTTTCATGAAAAATGAAAGAGAATGAAATAATGGGAGTATAACAACCATTTAATGAGAAAAACATAAGGGACTTAAAAGGACTTAAAAGAAATTCAATCATTATTTAGCATTTTTAAATAGGTAAGATTCCATTACGTTCATATGAGCTATGCAGTGTTACATAAAAAACGAAATGTAATTTCTAAATATTCCAGAAATTCAGTCCTTCCTTTTCTTGTTTTTCTCCTCTCATACTTTTAGTTTTGCAGTGTTGTGATGTTGGTTTTTTTTACATCCTAACTTATTTTCTAATTCTATCTCCACTGAACTCCTTTTTCGTACTCTCTTTCATTTATATCTTCTTCTTTTTTTTTTGAGTTGGAATCTCACTCTGTAGCCCAGGCTGATGTGCAGTGGCAAGCTCAAGACCACCGCAGTCATGACCTGCTGGGCTCAGGCAATCCTTCTGCCTCAGCCTTCCAAGTAGCTGGAACTACAGGCACATGCCACCATGCCCAGCCAATTTTTTTTATTTATTGTAGAGAGCAGATCTTGCCATGCACCCAGGCTGGTCTTGAACACATGCGCTCAGGCAATCCTCTCACTTGCACCTCCCAAAGTGCTGGGATTTATAGGCATGAGCCACTGTGCCCAGCCATATCATCTTTCTTACTAATTCATTGCTTTAATTGACCAGTCCATGGCTCAACTCTACAATTGAATTGGGCAAGGCTAAACATTTGCAACGTGCTAAAATGCTCAAAGTTGGCATTCTAAGATTCATTCTAAGATTTTTTGGTTTTGTCTCATTCTAAGATTTTTTGGTTTTGTTAAATGGCACAGGGATGCAGATAAGTCACAACAAAACCAACCTTCTCCAAGTCTCTATCATATACTTATTCTTAAACTGATGATAATTATTACTTCCAGATTTAAAGACAAAAACAACACAAAAATACAGTCTAAGGGCTTTATTATGTATGTGTTTACTGAATATATCTCTGCTTTGTTCTTATAGATTAAAAAATTATATTCTATTTGGGTATTTCCTGAGGTATTTTTTTATACATTAAGTGAAGGGCTATTTAAAATCTAGAAGCAGAGTTTTTAACCTATGGTTCACGCACAAAACTGTATTTCAATGTAATTGTTTTTGCTTTAATACTATTTGTTTTATTTTATGCATTTAAAACATAATCCTAAACCGGGCTCGGTGGCTCAGCCTGTAATCCCGCGCCTTGGGAGGCTGAGGTGAGTGGATTGCCTGAGCCCACGGGTTCGAGACCCACCTAGGAAACTTGGTGAGACCTCATCTCTACAATAAATCAAAAAATTAGCCGGGCGTGGTAGCGCACGCCTGTAATTCCAGCTACTTGGAAGGCTGAGGCGGAAGGATCGCTGGAGCCCCAGCAGGTGGAGGCTGGGTGACAGAGTGAGACTCCAACTCAAAAAAAGAAAAATCCTAGAAGGACAAAATTATGAACTTTGCAGCAACTTAGATGGGTTTAGAATCTATAATACTCAGTGATCTATCACAGAAACAAAGAATTGAGTACCACATGTTCTCACTCATAAGTAGACCCTGAACAATTATCATAATACTATAAGAAAGGGATTGGCAGTAGTGGGAAACTGCCAGGGGAGCAGGGAACACTTCATCAATAAGGGTACCTGGTCTCAAACCAGGTGAAGTGGGGACGAAAGTCAAGCCCAAACTTTACCTGTATAATGATCATTTGTATACCTAACCCTGAATTGCACCCCACATCTTTAAAAGAAAAATTAAAAGCAATAAAAATTTTTAAAAATAACATAATCCTGAGAGGGATACTCTAGGCCCATATCACAAAAAAAGGTTAAGAATTATTGCTTGATTAGCATATTTATAAGAAAGTTTATTATAATAAAACTATCAGAATGCATTCATTTGTTTATATATATGTATAATAATGTTAATATTGAAACTGGATTGACTCAATATGCGTAATTATTCTTTTCAAACTGACAAACTCTTTTAAGATTCAATATGTCATTAAAAACTTCACAGAAATAAATATTCTATTGAGTATTGTAGTCCATAAATTATAATATGGAGATGGATTTAAGTTAAAATTCATAGCCCAGAGGTAAATATGGCTTTTAAATTACACCCTTCCACCAATAGTTTTTCATATTTGACATTATTATCACTTATTCTATTTCCAATTATAATAAAAAATGAAGATTTCTTGTTTAAAAAGGAAAAAAGAAAAAAGGAAATGTACTACAGACTGAATCCAATACATCAGATAATTAAGATTCTACCTTGGTGTTTCTTTTTTATTTAGCTTATAAAACTAGTTGAAAATTGAATTCTTTTGTCAACTCCGTTTAGCGAAGAAGCAGCATAAACTAATGACAATGAATTGAACAAAATCTACATTAGTTAAAGTTCAGCCTATTAAACAGAGATATAGTAGCTAAAAATGGAACTGAGATATAGTAGCTCTGGCTGTTGAGAGAATAAAAATATTGTGTGCTTTGAAAAAATTAAAAACAAAAAATTTATAAATACTCTGGAAGAGGTACTATAAATATTCTCCAAGAAGGAACATAAATCAGTATACATGGGTTAGAAATTTTTTTAGAGTGACCTCATCTCAGAACTTATGTGGTCATCATAAAGAGATAATATTTTTAGGCAGTTAAAATATTTTTAGAATTTCATCTATTTTACTAATTACTATGGACTTTTCTAATTACTATAAATTGTGTCCATATGAATAAAAGAAATAAGAAAAAAATAAAGTTGAATTTAATATTCTCATTTTTATGATTATTGAGCAAAAATCAAGTTTAAAACAGTCTAATTGTAAAAGGTCCATAATGTATAAATTGCATGCACAGGAACAATAAATAAATGCATGCAAAAAGTATTAATATAGTTATCTCTGGCTGAATTTTTAAATTTCCTTCCTTGTGAACTCCTATAATTCCAAATTCCCACAATGAACATATATTACTTTTGTAATAAGAAAAAAACATAATATGTGTGTGTGTTCATATGACTTTTATTTTATGCATCACTGTTTCTGTTAGAATATTTTCTGCTGTAAGGATTAGAAACGTCAAACCAGAAGTGGCATGTTACAGAATGTACAGAGGTAGATGGGCAGAATTGGTTAACTCAGAGATTTGAGCCAGGTCTTCTGCTTCCACTATACTTTCCTTTCACAACTAGAAGTTGGTTGTCACCTTTCTAAGTCTCGAAGGCAGGAAGAAAGGGTGACTTCTCACAGTGGCTCCTCTTTCTCATAACCCTCAGCATTTCCTCTTAAATGAGCCAGAACTGGACCCAATGGCCAGAATATGACCAGCCCTAAACCAATCACTAACAAAAACAAAGAGGATTACTCTGAACCCGTTAAGTACTCTGAACCCGTAAAGGGCATGACTCATCTTGTGGGACAGGGCTCAATTTCCCTGAACATTTAGCAATCTGAAAACTAAAAAAAAGTCAGAGTTTTTTCTGTTTCTTTTATGTGGGGTGGGCATGGGGGAGGTGAGGGGGAGAGAGAGAGAGAGAGAGAAAGAGAAACTCCTTTTGGACCAGAACACAGCAGTACCTGCCACAGTCACCAATTAACTTCTCAAAACAAATTTGAGACTATATACACCACAAATTTAAATAGCACACAATTTAAATAAAAAGCATAAAGACTAAATGCAGTTCTTGGAACACAGTACTTGCACAATAAATGTAGTCCTAAGGGAAAAGAACAGATTTTCATTGTCACAATTTAAATCTATGACTTTTAAACTCTAGTGACTAGAATCTTTATCTGATGTATAGAGGGTAGGTTCTGCTTAATTATTGACCTTCTGATTACAGAACTCTTGATTACTGTTTCTTTCTTCATTTGTCTGTCTGTTTTTATAATTAGTCCATTGGGTAAGAAGTGTTTGTAAGTTTTTAAAATTCTGGCCATCAATTCAGATTCAGAAAATAATTGTCAAGTAAGTTAATAAATAAATGGTAACTTGAAGTAGATTTCCCATAAAGCTCATGAAACTTAATTTCAAAGTCCCTCACTTATTCAGTCCATTCTTGAGGTCCTGGAAAAGATGTTTTCACATGGTCACATATTTTTATAAAATTCATTTAAAAAGTTAATTGCAATTGATTAAGACTATCTCTTTACACACTTATTTTTCCTTGGTTATTATACTTCCCCTCAGATGAGACAATGTTGGATAGTCATTAATATCTTTGGGATCCAGCCACGAAGAAGTTGAATTAGGGCTATCTTTAGATGAAATCAAGAGAGATATTATGTCATTCTGGATCACTTTTATGTTGAGCTAAGTCATTGCTAACCATTACAGTAAGCTTTTAGGCATAATACTAAATGAAAAATTCACCATACTG